TCTTTCCTGAAGACTTATGGAGGTCTTTACTGAACATCTGTTATATGTGATGCCCTTGTATTAATATCAAGGAAATATAGGATGAATAAGTTTTCCCTTGACTACACAAACTGTATTTTTCTGGGGGTAAGGCTAAGGAGATATATATGCAAGTGAACATTGATATTAAAATATGATAAGTACAAGAGTTGAGGAATGTACTCATATAAAACTCTGAGAAAAGAAAAACTAAGTCTGCTTATCTTGTCCTTCCAAGGCCAATGCAAAGACAGCCTTCCCATAAAGAATTGCCTAACGGGGGTAGGCATTTTGGTGTAATGGTTAAGACACTGCTTGAGATGCCCATATACCATAGTAAAGTGCCTGAGTTCAAATCCTGACTCTGATTCTTCAGCTTCCTGCTGAGAAGCAAGAGATGGCTCAGGTACTTGGATCCCTGCAGCCCACATGGGAAACCTGGCTTGAATCTGGGGCTCCTGCTCTCAGCCTGGCCCAGCCTTGGCAGTCGTGGGCATTTGGGGAGTGAACTAGTGGAAGGAATATATCTCTTTGTCTATCACTGTTTCTCTTCCTTTCAAATAAGAAAGGAAGAAAAAAGAAAGGGAAGAAAGGAAAGGAAAGGAAAGGAAAGGAAAGGAAAGGAAAGGAAAGGAAAGGAAAGGAAAGGAAAGGAAAGGAAAGGAAAGGAAAAAGAAGATTTTAAAAAAGATTTCCCCAGTGAGCAACCAGTTATATTTTCCTTCTACTTTGAGCTGTTGACTGAATTTCTCAATTTTATCTTCCATGTCACTTACCACAACTTTAATGTCAACATCTCACATAATTATGTTAGCACTAAACTACTTTAGACTTTATATGAATTTTTCCAATTTCCCCACTCTTTCCAATTTCCGCTTTTTATCTTGTAGGGCCATATTATATTTAGTTATCATGTATATTTCCTTTGGTCTGTGACAGTTTCTCTGTCTTTGATTTTTTTTTGGCTTAACCTTTTCAAAGAGTACTGGCAAATTATTTTTTTAAATTTCTCTGGATTGGATTTCTCTGGTGTTTAGATTGGGGTTATGGATTATTGCAAAAAATACTGCATAAATAAAGTGCCCTTTTGATGACATCAAGTCAAGGGGTACATCACATTACACAAAAGGGTTTGATAATTAACTTTGATGGCCTTCATTTTAATATTTCTTCTCAAAATTCATACATTTTCCCATAACAAAGAGCTTCATTTATCTTTCAATCACTTGATGTTTGTTTTCTGGATTATATTGTCAATTTGCTGGCTAATGTAAAAGAACTTATAAAAATTCATACCACCATCACTTATAATAACAAATTATTGCTATTACATTATTCTGATGCCATAGGAACATTTTTGTTAGTTCTCTTCATTGAGTTTAGCTTGCTCTTCTCTCTCAAAGCTTAAACCAATTGCAGTGAAGTTACTTTCAAGGCTTGATGTCTTCTGGTCTACTATTGAGCTCTCATCCCTAAACTATGCCTTTTGTTTAAATTTGTTATCTAGAAACTGATCATAGAAAGCAATCTTTTCTGTTGGGGCTTAGGTAGTCCTCTAGGGGATATAATGCAGGGACTAAAGGTATAAAAGCCACCTCCTTGTGTATGCACTGCATGTCACCACTAGTCTCCACTATTGTGTGTTCTTAAATATGCATTAACATTTAATGACACAACTTTCCTCTACTAGCATGATGATCAATCATACCCTAGGATGTACATATGTTAGGTCCCAAAATATTTTATCTTCTTTCATAATTGAAGAGGTTTTAGTATAAAGCTCAATAAAAGACTAGCCAGGCCTTCCATCTGGGGAAATGCATACTGTAGACACAAAGTTTTTAATTCAAAATTTTAGTAATTGCCATTGTGTGGTAGCGAACGGCTCTTGCCAAAGGATATAATTACCATGGTGGTACCTAGCCAAGACTTTCAATATTAGACCAAGGAACTTGCCCTGTCATAAAAGACTTCATTGGGTTTTGTACTTGAAACTGTAAGAAAGCCTATTGTAACTCAAGTCCCCACTTAAATTCAGTTTGTTCCCTGCTAACTTTGTGAATAACAGCTAGTGAAGTTTAATAAGATTTCTTCAGAAACCAAACATGATCAGTTTTGTGACTCTTGTTTTAAACTGGAGCTAACAAAGACAAAACAACACTTTTGGTTCTCTGAAAGATATCATTAGTCATCCTGTAATGCTTGAGAATTTTACCATCACACCATTGGCTATATCTTATTTGGGTTAATCAGTCATTCTCTGGTGGTCATATGATTTGTAATTCAGTGAAAATTTTGCCTTCAGATTGAGATACTGACATTACATTATCAACATAATGAATAAAAATACTTTTAATTGAATCTGGTCCAAGTCAATTCTCATCATGTTCTGCCATTAAACAGAAAAGTTAAACAGAAAAATTAAAATAATCTTGTGGGAATACAGTAAGTGTCTACTGCGGTCCATTCACATGAATGAAAATTGGCTTTCTTTTCTTTTTGAAACAGAAATAGAAAAGAAATTAGTAGCCCAAATTCCTCACCAAATACCTATTTCCCTTAACATTATTTATACCATTATGAACTAAGGTTGATCCTTATTCATTTTCTAGGATGTATCTTTCTGTATAGGCCATACGGATTTTAATATAAAGCTTTTATTTAATAAATATAAATTTTGTAAGTACAACTTCTGGATTATAATGGTTCTTTCACCCATACCCACCCTCCTACCCCCAAACCATCCTACCTCCTACTCCCTTTCCCATCCCATTCTTCATTAAGATTCATTTTTAATTATCTTTATATACAGAAGATCAACTCTATACTAAGTAAAGATTTCAACAGTTTGCACCCACACAGAAACATAAAGTATAAAGTACTGTTTGAGTACTAGTTTTACTGTTAATTCTCATAGTACAACACATTAAAGACAGAGGTCTTACATAAGGAGCAAGTGCATAGTAACTCCTGTTGTTGATTTAACAATTGACACTCTTATTTATGATGTCAGTAATCACCCAAGGCTCTTGTCATGAGCTGCCAAGGCTGTGGAAGCCTCTTGAGTTCACAAACTCCGACATTATTTAGACAGGGCCATATCAAAATGGAAATTCTCGCCTCCCTTCAGAGAAAGGTACCTCCTTCTTAGCTGGCCCCTTCTTTCTACTGGGATCTCACTCACAGAGATGTTTCATGTAGGTCATTTTTTGACACAGTTAGACCATACTAAATTACTAAATAAGAAAATTTCAGAGACTTATGCCCATGTATCTAACATATTTTTGAGTCAAATTACTTGATATTTTGGAGTCCATTATTGTTTTAAATTAACTACTTGGCTCAGCTTAGGTGATTTTAAAGGTTATCATCTTGCACAGCATTTATTTCCCCAGTAGTTTATGTAAAAAAGAGCCATTTATTCTGTAAGGAGTAAAGCCAATCCATACATTTTGCTTTATGTGCATTTTTACTTTGATCCATATTTTCATCAGCAAGCCTTTCATTGTTGCTACCATAACATCTCTTGAATTTAATAATTTTTCCCTTTATCTTTTCATTGCTGAGATAGCATGTTGTATATTGGTGTTCTGTAACCCCAATGAAGAATTTATCATACCTATGCCAGTTTATGTCTACTAGCTCAGCTTTCTAGATTTCTGCTAGGACTTATGCCAAGAGATCCTGGCCTTTCCATCTCCCTGGTTTATAATCTCATTTATCTTGTACCAGTTTAATTTGTTTTATTTTATTCTGAGTGAATTGCAATCCATCTTTATATAATCATCGTATTTTCAACATTCTTTGAGGAGAGAATAAATTGAGTTCTTGTATTAGAGTGTTTTAAAATTATAGTAGTTAATCTATCTTGGTTTTCATCTCATTTTTTAATTCATTTAGCTCAATTCTTCTGAAGTATTTTTGTCTCATTAACATTTATTGTTTTCTTTCTATTGAAAAATGCTAAGCTTTTAACCAGTTTAGGTTCATGTTTTGGGCTGAAAGAGAGGGAAAATAGCTCCCTTTATATCTCCCAAGAATAAAGTCACATTAGGAGCACAAGCACTAGGGTCCCTTTTATAACAGCGTTGATTATGATTTGTGGACAAAAGTGTAATTTCGGAAAAGCTTCAGTATTATCATACAACCACCCCAATGTTGCTTGCATTGTCAACATTGTATCAGCCTTCATTTAATATGCATTTTCAGGTTCTGAAAATATGCTTTCATGTCTTTATTCAAGTAGATTGGGAGTGTCTCCTATTACTCACATTTCAGTAAAAATTTTCAGCTAGCTGAATATTCTGAGTAAAAAGAAATGTGCCCCTCCATTCATCAGCATCTGGTGTAAAAGAAATAGCTCCTCACTCTCCCATATGCAAAACCAATTTAAAAGGATTTGGTAGAGAGTTGACAATAATAATCTGCAACACATCTTAAATATACAGGATAGTATACAGCTATAAAAATGAATGTACTTAGACTACACGCAAAAATATGGTGTATTATATAGGGTCTATTAATCAAATGTAGTAAAGGGGTTCCTTATAAAGATAGGGTTAAATGTCTGGTGAAACTCCAAGAGCTAGAAAAGGAAAAAGAAATTCAGAAATACCTCTGTTTGCAGGAAAGGGGCACTACTGACCTGAGCTCACTGATAAGGATCTAGAGGAATGAAAACCATGATTTCCATTCCTCCCCCCAACTCCCAGTATCCTGGAAGTACCTCCCAATGGCCAAACTCAACTTGTTATCAGAAGGCAGAGTAGGCTACTGGATTCAAGGCATCAGGATTACCTTCATGGTGCACAAGGCAGAGTGTAGAGGGGTGAGGGTAACTCTGAAGAGACAAAAAGAAATTATCCAAAATAATTATTATTTTTCAAAAAAAAAAAACAGCCAAGATAAAATAAAATGAAATATCTTTGTAAAAGTGAATTAAATCTGTATAACACAACACCTGCCTAATTGTCTAAGTTAATTTCCTGCTTGGTCCTACTTACAATTTGTGATTTAAACTTACCAGTGAATTTTACTTCCATAAGGGGTCCAAGCTCTTCCCTCTGCCTCAATTTTCTTTTTTTCTACTTGGTAGTTTTCAATATTCTAGATTTGGCTCAGGTCTCATCTCCATCAATTTAAAGGCATTTTCTGAAAGATCTCCCAAGATAGGTTAAACTAAGCCTTACTCCTCTGTGCCTTCATATCTCCACTTAATCACTCCAATCTTATCATTTGTGTAGGCAATAACATTTCTTCCTCTCCAGCTATGCTTGAATAAAGTAAGTATTCCAGAGTAGGGAGTTTGAAGGACTTGGGACTGAGCAAGCAAAAAGCATATGACCACAAGATGGCAGTAGTACATATGAACTTTATAAATGATCCAAGGGAAATATAAGAGTAATTTTTGCTATTTTGCATACAATCAGAGGCTATGTGCTTTAATGCCCTATATCCCCAACACTTATGGAAATCCCTGGGTCATAGCAGGTACTCAACTGAGAATTACACAAATGAATGAAGGAATATCCCAAAGAAAAAGAAGGTAAGAAGGAATGGAACTCAATATATTATTGGTTCTTAAACTTTCCTTTTTATTTTTGTTTGGTGTATATATTTGTATTACTTTATATGTTAGTTAATCAAAATAGTGAATTACATGTCTTGTATTACTTCTACAAATATTTCATTTAAACTTTGACAGACGGTAGTTTGGAGGTTACTTACAGAATCATGTACTAATTCTAAAACTTCCAGAGTAGATACAAATGATAGTGCTTAACTGAATGGTTGTTTCTTTCTAAATTTATTTATTGAAAAGGGTAGACATACACACACACACACACACACACACACACTCGCACACACACATACCCCGCCAGGTGGCAGAGACCCAAGTAGCAATCAATTGCTACCTCCCAGGGTGTGTATTAGCAGGAAACTGTACTTGGGAGTAAAGCTGGAACTTGAACTCAGTTACTTCAATATGGGATCCAGGATTCCCAAGCAGCATCTTAACTGCTTTGCCAAATGCCCACCCACATTGGTTGAGGTTGTATGGGTTACAAAAAATGTTCATTACACAAGGGAATGAAAGAGAATAGAAAAAGTAGGTGAGGAATTGATAAGCTTTCTCAATGTTTAGTTTAATTCATAACATAGCAGACATTCTTTGCACTGAAGACATCAACCAATGTTTTGGCAGTTTTTGTAGGACAGTTTAAAATTAGTAAAAAATTCCTCTTTTTTAGTTTCAAGATTTAAAACAGGGTTGTTTGCTTTTTTAAATGCAATGTGCATCTTTTTAAAATGGTTTGCTGCCTCTTGGAATAACTCTAGAGCAAGTTCCAGTTTGTATCTGGTTGTTAACATGAATGTGCCTCTTTGAGATGCAGCCTCTGTCTCAGTATGAATCACCCATAGAATTTCATGGAAGTAACTAGCACTGTATCCCTCGTTCTGTTGTTCTCTTTTGTGTATGATTTCTTTAACCATTTCCATAATTTGAGCTGTTGTTTTATTTATGATATCCTTGTCAGACTCTTTCATAAGTGGTCCATATACTTGGAACTTTTGAGAAGTGATGACATGTTTAGAATAATTGATAGAAAATGTTTTCCTTGTATCACGATACCTTATTTTGTTGACAATATTGGGATGCTGTTTAAAATGCTCTAGAAGAATATTCTCTAGCTCAATTTCAATATCAGGATCTTTAGCAAATGGAACTGCGGGAGGCAGTAGAATGGAGCTGTTCTCTGACCACACCTTGTTGAACATATCTCTCAGTTCATTATCATGAAACTCTTTGCTGTTGGGGAACTTAGCAATCACTCTGATTTTTTCCAGTAATTTATGTTCAAATTTTACTTTTTGCTCATTTAGAAGGGCTTGCATTTTCTTTCCACTTATTATAGCCTCACATTTTCTCATGGTCTCTACTATAAGTTCCTCTTTAAGATTCTTCCAGCCATCTTCAATTTTCCCTTTCCACTGAGCCAGTATATCTCTATCCTTGTCTTCTCTAAAATACTTTTCAATTTCTTGCCTAATAGTTTCATGCTTTTCCACAACTAGATTCTCAACTGAGCTTCTCTGGAACTCTACAACTTCCTCATCCTGTATCTGCTTGATCAGCTGATTCTGCAGGTCCAGCATGTAACTTCTCAGCTCCCAGGACCACCTGCTATAGATGTTCTCCAATTTATGCATAGCTAAGACTTCCTGGGTGTTCCTGAACCTAAAGATAAAGTTCTCATTCAGTAAGGCTTTCCATAAATCCCGTATCCGGACTTTAAGTTCTGAGATCTTCAAAATACTTCCCCTGCATTCTTCTTTGGCATGCTTAAGAATCCTGCTTTTCAACTGCTGAACATTTTGGCTGTAGCAGGGGTTGGGAGGGGCCATTGGAGGATGACCTTCCCAGAGGTGAGCTACGTAATGGATATGGGTCTTGACATCAAACTTAATGACATCACTGAACTGGCATACATCTGAGCACTGTTCATATCTGGCCGCATCAAGTGCCATTTTATCCAATCTTTCCTGCAGCCACCTTCGCCTTTCCATACTTTGATTTGTATCTATAATTTCTTCTATGTTCTGATGAACAAACAAGCATCTTGGGGAGATATTCAGTTGTTTCATCCTGAGAAAGGCGTGGACAACTATCTGCAGAATATCTTGTATTTTTGATAGATTCTTCTCAAAAATATTGATTAGAATTAAGTTTCCAAGTCCAATGACAAAAGTTGCCAACTCATTTTCTTCATTCTGTGCTTTGTTAATGAACTCTGGAGCCACCTGAAGTCCTTCTGAGTCCACAACAAGCACAAAATCAAATCCCAATTGTTCCCTGAGCATCTCTTCCACCTTCAGGAGCTGCATGTAGGCTCCTCGAGTACACTTGCCAGCACTGAGACTGAACTGTAGCCCAAACATTGCATTCAATAGAGTCGACTTCCCTGAGTTCTGCAGGCCAAGGACAGAAAGAACAAACACACGTTTGTCTCCAAGTTTCTCAGAAACCTTGTCTAAAACAGCTGACACCCACTTTAAGGGCACATAAGAAGCATCCCCATCCATCAGCTCAATGGGAGCCCCAGATATCATCAGGTCAGCAGCCATTTGGGGAAGGGAGAGAAACAATGCATTTGTTTGGGAGGAAGCTTCTTCCAGAGCTTCATAGACCTGGCCCACCTCTCTTAGGAGATGTTCGATTCCTAGAGTGGAGTCACTAATCTCTTTGGAAACATCTTCTAGCTCAGCTTCCCAGTGTCTGAATGAGTCGATTTTTGATTGCTTCTGCTTTTCTGCCTGCACCTGAGTCAACAAGAAACGGTATCTTTGGTGGAGTTTTTCTAAGTCCTTCATTGTTAGTTGGTCAATTAACATACTCAGTCCCTGCAGAAAGTAGAGCTCTGTATGGGTCTCTGGGTGTGACTGAAGATTTTCAATCAAAGACCTCATGAGGTCATTAAGGTTAATAACGTTGTGATATTGTTCACAACGTATCTTTTGCTTTTCTTTCTCAATCTCATTCTTGTATTGGTCAATGCTCCTGTAACCCTTTTCTCTGAGTTGATACAATTCTTTGTCCTTCTTACACCAATCATGCCATAATTGTCCCTGAAGGGGTAGTAACTTTTGTTTTATCTGAGATAATTTCACTTTTTTCAAAAGATCAACAATAAAGTCTGCTTTTCTTCCTGCTTCTTGGCAATCTCTTTGTTCCTCATCAATGATAAATTTATACTTCCTAGCAATGTTGGCACAGTTACTCAAACTGCAAGGAGAACTAGACTTCTTCAGCAGCCGTGTTAATGTTGCTGTCATTTTTTCAGCTAATTCTACCTTATTTAAATTCTTGATACCAATTCTCACTTTGTGAGCAGAATTCTCATCCATAATATTTTCCACGTTTTCAAACAAACAAACAAGAGGTTTGGGTGAATTCCAAAATTCATGCAGGATTGAATTATTCATTTTTTCAATATCAGACATTGACAGGAGGATCACAGTGACTGAGGAGACCTCATGCAAGAACTTAACTTGCTTCTCATGTGTTTCAGCATTTCCATGGAGATTGGTGAAGGCAATACAGTTTTCAAATCTGTCCTGAGCTCTCCCACCGGGACAGAACCAACATATTTCTACTATACCTTCCATCAGTAGACAGCTTTTGTTGCCTTCCCTAAAATGATGGTGGAAAAAATTGTCATGTTTGCCCTTACTCAGGAGTGAATTCAGAATCTGTGATTTGGATGTAGAGACAAATTTTCCAATTCTTATGAAAGACACAATGTGCATAGGTTGCCAACTGATCAGTTGGTTATCATAGCTCCTAATTTTTTTCTCCCAACCTATTTTTTCCACTTCTTTCCAGCTTCTCCTGACTTGCTTGAGAGACCAAAGAGGGAATTCAATTTGGGAATTAAAGGGATTAGGCACCAAAAGTGGGAGAGCAAATTGACAAATTGAAAGTTTGGTTAAAATATACTGTCTTGTAAAGTCATCTGCACAGTGAAAAATTACCATTTGTATGTCCATTGGATGAATGCAAGTTTGTATTGTGGTTGAGTATGCTTCCTTGATAATGAAAAAGTCTTCAAATGTTGAGAGCTTACTTTCTGATTCTGTGGTTGTCAGTGTCTGGGACACACTAGAAATTGTATCTATATTACTTCTGTAAACTAGGTACCTCAAATGACAATCTAATACCAAAAGCTTCTCCAGAAAGTGATATGGTAGCTCCTTCTCATCTCTTGGTTGGATGCTAAGGAAGGAGGTCTTATTTATCAAAAAGGAATCAACTTTGTTCATCTTCTTGGGATAATAATCCTCCAGATTAAGCCGCTTGAGCAATTGATGAAAGTATTGATTTTTAACTGTCACTTCTTTATCACTGCTTGGTTGAAGATCTCTAGGATAAGAAGTAGATTCATCAACATTTTTCTTTGTATTAAAGAGATTTCTTAGTTTCTAGAAAGGAACAGAAACAATGATAATAGCTGTTATTACTCCATAGTAAAAATCTTAGAAGGTGAGGAAAGACTTAACTAATATAGCAGATGATTACTAAAAGTTGATGGGAAGAAAAGAGAATTTAAAATGTAATGGAAAGGAATATACTACAAGATAGGTACTTTGTTAAAGGTTTTATTCATGTTATATCATAGAATAAATAAGATTTTCTCAGGCAGAGGAGTGGGTGGGAGGGGGCATACCTGACAGCAAGAATAGAAATGCTAAGGTAAAGATGTGTAAAATTTGATATGTTAAGAAAACTTTAGAGAACATAAAGTAATCTACTACATATTACCACAGACAAAAAATGTGACTAGTGAGGAAAATAAATAGATTTTTGGGGTAATCCTTAATTTGTATAACGGTCCTCTTCATTATTATTATTACTTCCATATTGGAGGAGAATGGGACATAAAAATAGAGAATGGCACATAAAAATCAAGAAGTGTGCTCATGGTCACACAGAAATGAACAGTTAAGGCTCTCTGGGACCTTGTTCTCCATGTAGGTGAAATGACTATGGCACACTATAGGGTGTGGGAAATAGTAGATCGTGGAGAATCTGAGCATTCGTAGGGCCTGGTCATCTACTCCATTCCAGGGTAAAAATGCTTGAGTTGGAGCTGATTACAAACCTTTGGTATTTTTTGTTTAATTTTATCTTCATCAGGTCCTGCTTCAGTCTCTTGTTTTCTCTTGTTTGTCTTTTTGGTTGACTTTCCAGTGGAAGATCCAACTTTGGAAGCAAAGTATATCCATTAATCTCACAATTTATAAAACATGAAAAGGGCTTTCTCCTACCTACAACCAATCACTAGTTTGGCACTAACCGATTTACAACAATAAATTTAAGATTAGTGTTTGTTACCTACATAGGACCCAAGAAAAGGTATGAGTATAAATATGTGATACTATGAAAATGATTAGGAATAAGAGTGATAGTCTCATGGAATGAGAGATTTGGGGTATGAGAATGAAGCAAAAAGAAAAAGAATCAAATAATTGTAACTAGTGCATTGCTTATACATATAATTTTATTATATGTTTGATTATTTTCAAGATACTTATAGTGAGTACTTGAAGTCATATATTTTAATAAGGTATATTTGATTATATTACCATAATTCCTTTCAATGCGTTATTTGAAATTAGTAACTCCTCTGCTTTTGAATGACTATTCAGGCAGGTCTCACAGCTTCTCTGCTAATACTTACGTGAAAAAAAAATTCCAGTTAGTCCTATATAAAATCCAAATTTTTATATTTTATTTAAAGCTGAAGATTATTTCCCCCTTTTTTTAGCTTTATTTTGGAATAATTGATCTACAAAAATTGCACACATTTATTATATGCATGTTGATGAGCTTAAACATATGCATATAACTGATACCAATATACCACCAAGGTGCTAAATATATTCCTCCTGTCCAAAAATTTTCTGTGTTGTTTTGTGATTTTTTTTTGATGAAAAGTACACTTAAAAAGAGATCTACCTCTGAAATCTGTAAAACAAAGATGGAAGAAACCAAAGCAGACACAAATAAATGGAAATAATCTGCCTTGTGGGTTGGAAACATCCATGTTATTTATAAAATTGTTACTACTTGTTACTACACAAAATTGTCTACAAGTTCAATGTGATCTATCAAAATCCCGGGGGAATTTAGCAGACAAGTACTGAAAAACAACCAGAAATTTTAGAAATGAAAAACTAAATAGTCAAATAAAAATATATGTTTGAAAACTTCAACAACAGACTTGATCTAGAAGAAGAAGAAAAAAACCCAAACTGAAGACCACTCTTTTGAAATATCCTGGTCTTATGGAAAGAAAGAGAGAGAGAGAGAGAGAGAGAGAGAGATAAAGCAGGGCGGGAATAAAGTAGGAAAGAGAGGAAGAAAGGAAGCAAAGAATACATTGACCAGAAAATATATTTACCTCAACTCATTATGGTAAAACTCTGAAAATTAGAACACAAAAAGAATTTTCAATCTGCAGAAGCAGCTGCCAAGTCATATTTAAGGGGGATATTGCCTTATAATAAAAGCATATTTTAAATGAAAACTTTAGAGTTCAGGATAAATAGAATGGTATATGCCAAGTTCTGAAAAAAAATCTAACCCAGAGCACTTTACTCAGAAAAGCTATCATTCATAAATGAAGATGAAATGTATTCCAAAACAAGATCTGTCACTACCAAACAAGCTTTACTAAAGTTGCTTAAAGAAGCCCTACCAATAAAGAAACAAATATAACCACCATTAAGAAAAAATGTGAAATTATAAAAAGAAAATTCAAAATAAAAGGAGTTGTTTTTAAAAATGAGAGTTGTGTCATTACTTATTAATTACAGATTTGAATATAAATAGACTAAATCCCACAATTAAAAGATACAGATTGACTGAATGGATTAAAAAACAAGACTCAACAATATGCTGTATACAATAAACTCACTTGATCTGTAAAGACACATACAGACTGAAAATCAGTATGGGAAAAGATATTCACTCAATTGGAAACCAAAACCAAACAGCAATGGCTATATTTATATCAGAGTTTGAGAAAAAAAACTGTAAAAGGACACAAAGAAGATCACAATAAAATGACCAACAGATCAATCTAATAAGATAAAATGACAGAAAGTACTTAGTTGTTGCTGATCAGGGAGAACATATGAAATTTGTCCCTTTGGGATTGGCTTATTTCACTCAGCATAATGTTTTCCAGATTCCTCCATTTTGTTGCAAATGACCCCATTTCATTGTTCTTTACTGCTGTATAGTATTCTATAGAGTACATGTCCCATAATTTCTTTATCCAGTCTACTGTTGATGGGCATTTAGGTTGATTCCAGGTCTTAGCTATTGTGAATTGAGCTGCAATAAACATTGAGGTGCAGACAGCTCTTTGATTTGCCAATTTAATTTTCTTTGGATAAATTCCAAGGAGTGGGATGGCTGGGTTGTATGGTAGGGTTATATTCAATGAAATCCAGTCATTTGCAACAAAATGGACGAATCCGGAAAACATTATACTGAGTGAATTAAGCCAGTCCCAAAGGAACAAATATCATATGTTCTCCCTGATCGGCGACAACTAACTGAGCACCAAAGGGGAAACCTGTTGAAGTGAAATGGACACTATGAGAAACAGTGACTTGATCAGCTCTTGTCCTGACTGTTGATGTACAATTTAATACTTTATCCCTTTTAGTATTTTTTTTTTTTTGCTCTAGCAGGAAGGTGTATTGGAAGCAGACAGCCAGGATGCCTGAATTTTGCAAGCGGCAGCTTAATCCACTGTGCCAAAAATGCTTAATTTTATATTTTGTGACTTTAAGATCAATAAATTATTTTTAATATGATTTTACCTTATAAGATTATTTATTTGAAAGGCAGAATGACACAGAAAGAAGGACACACACACACACACACACACACAGAGAGAGAGAGAGAGAGAGAGAGAGAGAGATCTTCCATTTGCAGACACATTTGTTTCACTTCCAAAGTGTCTGCAAGAAGCAGGCTGGGCCAGGCCAAAGCCAGGAACCAGAAACTCCATCTGATTCTGCCACATGGATGTCAGGGACTTAAGTACTTGGAGAATTATCAATTGCTATCCCAGGGACATTCACAATAATTTGGACCACAAGTGGAGTCACCAGGACTGGAACTGGAACTCTGATATGTGGTGCAGATGTCCTAAACTGCGGCTTAATCTGTGGCACCACAATGCTGGCCCCTCTATAAATTATTTTTTAAGCACTACGAAAGAAGTCTTTTTATGTATTATGTTGTGAATGTCTATGTGGAATTAATTAAGATATGAGAATTTCAGGGAAAGTCTTGAGTCATGTACAGCAATGAATGGAATAGAATAGATCCAGACTTACCTTTTTCCATTGACTGACAGAGCTTCTCTGCCAAGCTGCGTTGGTTTATGGCCTTCAGGACTTGCTGTGTCACAGTGTTGGAGTATTCTTCCCCATAGTACTGGATCAGTAGGTCAGCAAGTTTCACTGCATTTGCCTGCTGCAGAGTGCCCCTTGGCACGTGGTTATATCCCTCAGCAAGATCAATGTTTGTCAGCTGGAACTTGAACTTTACCAATTCCTCCTCTATAAGATCCTCAAGAATGCTAAGGAGGCATGCCTTCAGTGTGGTTCCCATGATGTGCAGCTCTATCCTGAGAAACTGATGGGTCTGCAATTACTGATTGGAAATAGAAAGATGGTTATGTATAATCCCAGTGATGGGAATTGTGTATGAAGCAAAGGTTAAAGAGAAGTGGAGAAAGTGAGGTGGAGGTGAGACCAGAGACTCTCTTGCTAAAAAAATTAAAAAGAAAAACCTGTGAGCCTCAAAGAGATGTGCTCCTCATGGTTCAGAGCCATTCACCACAGTCTGGCTCCAATCCCAGTATTTCCAAGACTCCCCATTAGATCATGTTTATTTGTGGGAACTGAATGGGATGGGGCCTTATGCATGTTTGTCTCATGCTGTAAAAAGGAAAGAGAAAGGCAGACATTGTTTTTCAGTAGATAGAAAAAGAGTAACTGAATTATGGGCAGTGAATGGGCAGTGAATGAAAGTTTAGCAGACATTTGTGTGTATTGAGGAGGTATGGGAATATTTTAGATTTCATCTGCATATGAAAAAATGTGGCAAACAAAACAGAGAAAAACAGTTTTCTAATTTCATTGGATCCATAGGATTATCAATCTTTTTCTATGCTTACTATTCCCATTTACCTCTACATTTTGTATGCTGGAAGGTAACTTTTCTAGAGGAGCAAATATATGAAACTAATGCTGTAATTATCAATCACCATCTTTTACATCAGTAAGACCACTGTCTTCACCAGTGTATCTCAAATTAACCATTAGATGGGAGCAGAGGTGGGGGGCGGGGTATGGGATGAAGAATCCCTATAATTCAAAAGCTGTACCTATGAAATTTATATTTATCAAATAAAGGCTTTCTAAAAATAAATAAATCTCTAAAAATTACCAAATATATTATACTATTATGAGAAATAATAAAAATAAATAAAATTGTGCATATGAAAAAATAAGCATGGCATCCATATTTTTAAAAAAACTCTATTTTTGAGGTAATAATAAAATATTATTTCTTTTCTGAGATCTTTTGAAATTGACTAATACTAATTGATGTGATGTTATCTAGCTTTCAAATTTTGTGATTCCTGTGACACTTCTACTTTGTCCTGTTACAATTTTCTGTGTACTTAAATTATTTTCCTCTCCCAGGTAGCAAACACTGTTAATTAAAAAGGCAAATAATATAAGAAGTATCAATTACATCACAAGTACTATGGCAGGTGGATTACATTGTCTTATTTTTTAGATTAGAAACCCAAAAGCTATACAGTATTTCCAAAGTAACACAGTTTGTAACTGAAAGAATTACAGTCCAAACATAGTGTTTCCAATTCCAGAAACTGTCATCTCTCCAATTCACCAATGGATAACATATTGCTCATCATAGTTAAATATTCAATGTTGTTGTTTAATAGTTGTAATCATCAAGATACCTTTAACTTTTGCCTATCCCCATATTCCTCAAAGAAAGAAAAAAATTCTTTGTTCATTTATTTATTTACTTATTTATTGCTTTCAATTTCTAAAGTACATCAAGAAATTGTTTAGCACTCATTGTGCACCAGGCAGTGGTACCTGTGCTAGATTCAATGATTAATATATAAGAAACAAAATCTTTCCACAAAGCACTTTCATTTTAGGGCATGATAGTATGTTGGAGAGAGTATGAGAAAGGCAATAGAGAGATAATAGAAATATTAATATGTTTATCTCCCTTATTAAGATAATGGAGTAGGGTGATGTGAGGAAATATTACCATAGGGTGAAGGGGACACACTGTTGAAAAAGACTACTCTGAGAATGTGATAGTTAAGATTAAATATGAAAGAAGAAGGCTCATACGTGAAGAACTGGGAAAAAAAACCCAAGAATAAGGAAGAGCCAATGAAAATGCCTAAACAGAATCCAATTTTGTGTTTTGGGACCAATTTGGCTGAAGAATAATTGAAAAATGGGAGAGGAAATGAAAATCATAAAATTGTGATTCATATAGCATCATTTTAGGTCAGGATAAGGATACTGAGTTCTATGTGTAGTGGGAAGCAATTTTCTATGTGTAGTGGGAAGAAATTGGGACACTTATACACAAGAACAATGTGTTTGGTTGATCTTTGGGAGATGTCTCTGTCTCTTACATGAAGATGGAGAATAGAGTTTACTCATGGAGAGGCAGTGGTTATAATTACAAGGTAGTTGGAGTGGTCTAAAGAAGATGGTGGCTTGAACCATGCTTTTAGCAAGGAAAATAATGAGCAATGGCCATGTTAAGAATTTATCTTATAGATATGGCTAACCAGAATTATTGGTGGTTTGGTTATGGGATATGAAGTAAAATGCAAACTCAAGATAATATAGTGGGCACTATTCTAAAATGCACCACCCTGCCCCCAAGATTCTTACCTCTTAGACTACATACCTTACGCAATCTTTTCCCCTTTGGTGTGAACACAACCTATAAATATGATCAGATATCACTTTTGTGATTTTGTTATCTTACATGGAAAAAGAGGGTATTTACTGAATGATTTTACTTAATCAGATAGAAAATGGAGACCTCAGTCACATAGCTGTAAAAGCTGAATTTTTCTAGGAATCTAAATAAGCTTGGAAGAAGATCTGAAGTTCCAAATCAGAGTGGCAGCATAGCTGACACTTAAATTTTATTCTTCACAATCTTGAGCAGAGGATCCACATAATCCATTCCCTAGGCTGCTGACCCATGGAAACTGAAAAATAAAAAGTTAATGTTTTATGTTGCTAAGACATTTAGTAATTTATTATGCAGTGAGTGAAAAAAAAAACAAATAATTTCTATGATTTTGACCCAAGCAAAGAGTTTGATGATGGTGAGACATGTAGAGATGATGAAGGTTTATTAGATATCAGATTGGAAATCACAATTAATTTGTAGCACCTAATAGGCAGGTAAGTGGAGATGGAAATTAGGCTTAAAAAGGACATAGCTTTTAAGGGATGGTTCTAGTTTGGAGATATTGATCATGATCAATAGTATTTGAAGGTATGGGACTGTTTGAGAAGAAAGTATGGATGGACGAGAAAGCAAGCTTCGGCTGGTGGGTAATACTCCAACATTCAGAAAAGAAGTAAAGAAGTCTCCAGGAAGAGAAGTTGGGGAATGAGACAAATTTGAGATCCCTAATGCCTGTTTCTTGGGGAGCTGCTGGTCCTTGATATTCAGAGAATCTCTCTGTAAACATAATTTTTCTTTCTGTATTATGTATTTTTGAGTAATTTTTGTCCACTCCATTGGCAGAATATCATTAAAGAAGGCTAATGTTTAGATGTAATAGGAGATGATGAGACTCAGAAATTGTGTTAGGAGAGATTAAAGAAAAAGGCAATACAATCAAAACTATTTAAGGGCCTAGAAGTGGAGCACTTTAATTTTTGCTGTAAACGTAATTGTAGGAGGCCTTGAAGGTGATTCCCAAATTTGTACTTGATTGAATGATATACTGAGTTGGAAGACTTCAGGGTGTAGGGCAAGTTTAGGGTAGAGGAAGATGAATCATTCAGTTCTGAAACATTGAGTTTGATTTAAAATAATGGTAAATATGTACATTTTGTGTTTTCCTCTAAGTGCCTCACATGCATTATTTCATTTAGTATTTATGACAACCCTATAAAATATTCTTACATTCATATTTTATACATGATGAATCAGATGTATAATTGTCCATGATTCTATGAGAATTTGGTTCTACAATCTTAGCTACCACATAAACATTGTAGTAGAGAAACATACTAAACTAGATATGTAGTCCTGAGTTCCAAGAGGATATTTGGGCTAAAGATTTAAATTAGACAATCATCAACATAAAGATACCACACAAAGCCATAAAAATAAATAGGGTCTCTCCCAGAAAATGTGTTAAGAGAGGAAATTGCTAAACTAAAGTCTCTTTATATGAAGAACAGATATTCACTGGGCTGTGGGATGATCTTCCCAGTTGTTAAGTACCAAAACACAATGTTTTCATACTGTGATGAATGGATTCTTCTCTGATCCCCAGAAGCCCCACCACCACCTTCACTTCTCAGGCTCCAGAGAACACTGGTGGATTCTGCCAATGGGGAATAGTCTAATTTTCAATTTATTTTATTTCACTTTTATACTATTCACTTCTAAAACAAGCATTTACTAAATATACTTTATGGTGCTGGGGCAGATAGCAATCAGTCAAAACGGTTCTGGGCTTCTCTGTGATTAAAGAACCATTAAGGAATGGTGAGACACACCTGGGTTAGCCACTAAAAAGACCAGAACAGAGATGACTGTTTAAAAAAAGATTTTCTTGCAAACAGCAGGCGGTAAGGTAGTAACTTAGGTCAAACGTCATGAGTGTGAAGGAATAGAGACTTTAGGTCCTTGGTAAGTTAACAGGTATATGATGCCTCTTTCACTGGTTCCCTGTGAAACTGGCTCAAGGACAGGTTTGGCTAATGACTGGTAAGTTCAAGCTCAAGCAAATAATTCCCTGAACTTTTACAACAGCAGGGGTGCTAATTAACACCTGATGGATTTATGAAAAATGGCAAACATCTATACACAAAATGCAATTAAGTTTGTGTGCAATTATTTCATTGAAAGGTATAGGAACAACAAGGATGCAAATTATTGTTATTTATTCATCAATTCATTAATTCAAAAGAGCATAGAAAGTTATTTGTAAGAGTCCTGCATATGCAAAGTACTGTGTGTTGAGGATTCAAAGACAGATGAAGTCCCTTTCTCATGTCCTCAGTAAATGTGCAGGACATGGGTGCAGAGCCTGACTCATATCTGCATTATGGGACTGAGATGTAGGTAAAAGGCACAGTGGAACACAATGAGAACATGAACATTTGCCTCATTTCAGTAACAATGATAGCTAAAAATGGGCCCAGGCTCTAGCAAGGTAGACAGATGAATTCTGGCTTAGTCTTTAGGAGATTTTGACTTTGGTGAAAATTACTCTAAGGATATTGTCTAGCCCACCCCCCTTAAGAAATCTGAGAACTGGATTAGCACAAGTCACATATTCATGGCTGAACCAGGAGTCTGATCCCATCTCTGAGCCTATCCAGAGACCTTTTCTATGATCCATGTTGCCCCCAAATTGCAGTTGCATTCGGGTGTTTGTGTGTCCTATGCACGCATTCACGTGATCAGGGATAGTTCAGGCTTGGAGTCCTTGATGAAGTCACTATTCTAAGGTTCCTAAATTTGAGCAAAGAATCCTAAATAATGTACTTACAGCAGGGCATTACTCAATTGTAAGACAAAGAAGACAGAGACAGAAAGACAGAGAGTGAAATGAGTAAGGCAGAGACAGTGATAGACTGATATTCATATAAACAGAAGGAGCAAGAGAGAGCGAGGAGTCTGACTTAGAGAATGCAATCAGAGACAGGGAACAAGGATACTTTCTTGAACAATAGAGGAGAAGACAGGATATCAGGCCCCAGAACTTTCTCAAGAATGTTTTTTTCTCTCCCTCTTTGGGAATGGGGAAAGCTAACTTCACTGTGGACCCCTGAGGGAAGGGGATACTCACCAGTAAGACTCCTGGGTCTTCCTCCAGGTCACTCAGACCAGGGAATGGAGGCTGTTCTATCAAACAGAAAGCTGCCTTTCTTTCTGCAGCCAGTTTGTAAACTTAAAGAACCTGTTTGATGATTAAAAGATGTGACTGAATAATGAGGGCTGTAGTGATACCAGTTCCACAGGCACTACCAGCTCATGCCTATTCATCTTCTGCAGCTTGGGTTCCTTCAAAAATTGGATAAAATAATCATGTAAATATCTTAAAATAGTGTTTGATCCTTATTATGTACTTAACAAAGGTCACCCATTATTTTCTATATAGTAAGGAACCCTACTAAAGGAGTTCCTTACTAATGCAGTGCATTGAAATAATGTGTTTTCTTTTTTTAAAAATGTATTCATTTATTTGAAAGGCAGAATTATAGAGAGAGAAGGAGGGAGAGAAAGAGATCTATCTACTGGTTCACTCCCCAAATGTTCACAATGGTTGGGGCTGGGCCAGGCTGAAGCCAGGAGTCAGGAGCTTCTTATAGATTTCCCGTGAGGGTGCAGGGGCCCAAGCACTTGACTCATCTTCTGCTGCCTTCCCCGGCCACTAGCAGGGAGCTGGATGGAAAGTAAAGCAGCCAGATCTCAAACTGATGCCCATAGGGGATGCCACCATCACAGGCAGGAGCCCTACCTGCTATGTCACAACACCTGCCCCAGTGTGTTTCCTTAAAAAAAATCTTTAAAGGAGAGAGATTTCTGAAGTTGGCTTCATTAATAACAGGGATATAAAATCTGTTATCTTTATATTAATAAATATAATAAAAATTTTAAAAATAACAGAGATTTCAGGACAAGAATGATGTCATCCTAGCTTTGAGCATTTAAAATCATTCCCCTTGTTTACCTGAGGACTTTAAAAGAAAATCAGTGATGATATTTCTGTGTCATTGAGAGTAGAAACAGAACTTGCTCAACAATCTTGAACTGTGACCATGTAGTAACTGACAAAGTTGCTCACTACACATATAAAAACTTAGGTTTTGGGCTAGTTAGAAGTAATAACACACTTGCTAGGTGATACACTACCTCCATGACCTGCTGTGACAAGGCCCTATTCTTAGAGCCTTCCCTACCTCCTCCTGCCAAGCAGAGAGCTCCACAGGTCTAATCAGTGCTCTGTCTCCCTGCAGACCAAGAGACTCAGCTGCTGCCCTGATCTCCAAAGGGCCTCTGCTTCTGCTGTGTTTTGGAACATTTTTGCTCCCATCTAGTCAGAGTTCAGTTCTCAGCAGCACTGGGTCACTATGGGCAAATCTCCTCCAAATGTATTAGCATTAATTGGAAAGATCCTGGCCAGTTTTACTCTGAGCATGTGATTCAATAAAGTTTGAGATATTAACTTATTTTCTCTGGTATTTCCTCCCAATCTATTTCTTTTCTCTGTTACATCTGTGATAGTGGCGTCAGGGAGAGCATGAAATAGAGCAGAAAACTGATATTCTAATACAGATTTAGGATACAGTTTCCCTAGATAGAAATGTCATGAAGACCTATGAAATATTTTTCCAAGACCAAGAAAGATTTACCCAGAGAGAAGACAAAGGGAGGTAAAAAAATGTGTGGAGGTCTCACAAAAGAGGAACTAAGTACCCTGTTAAAGAGAAAATCTTGTGTGATACTCTGGTCATATGGATCAAAAATAACCCTGAAAAATATTTCGTCCATCTTGTAAACATTTTATGAAATAATCACAGTGATAGTATCTCTTCATAAATCTGTGGGACCAATGATTAAGGCATAGTTCCCATTGATGCATTGGCTTTGTGTAAAATCTGGGGACATTGGCATACATCT